AAAGCCTGAAAGGCTTCAATGACGTCGAAGAAGAAAAACAATTTCAAAAGATCATTTTGAATTTGAAGATAGCAATAAGTCAAGTGAGTGACTCAGGAAACATAATTAAAAAAATAGTTTAAACAAAATATCACAATTACAGTCTGGGGCCTTATGTCATGGTCCGAATGGAGCAGGGTTCGAATTGACCAGACACCGTCGAACATGTTCATGCTAAATTCTTTTCAGTCAGTTGAAGAACTATGAAGGATTTCATGAATTTATATAATATTTTTTTCTAATTGCCAATGTCAAAGCATTGTATTAGTGATTGCATCTAAACTACAACCAAGACTCTGTTCTGTTACAATTACGATCGAATTACGATCGGGCGTGGTATACGGTATACTGGGAAATTGAGGAAATGGAGAAATACAGCAATACTGGTCAATATCATCGGTTTCTAGGATAGAGTTGGTTAGAAGATTGTATAAGTAAAGCTAAGATTTAGAAAATCAATCTTTTTAGTCTTGTAGTATTCGTGTTTATGTAATTTTGTAATTATTTTACCTCCTGTTGTGTTGTTTATGTTACACGGTTATCGTTCCGAAATGTTATTCATGTCATTCAACGCACCCTTTCTGTAGAAATTCATCCGCAACAACCATCACGTTTTTCTTGTGTGAAAATAAAACATAATATTGTTGTTTTGCAATAGAATTAATTGCAGATATAATTGATGCAATTTTATTTTCAAGCTATTATTCATTTCGAGCGTTTTCAAAGAAATTGGTTTATAGCTATTGCTACTTTCTATTGCGGATGCATCGACTGACACATTCGGTCGCGTACATATCCGGTCACGATTTCAACTGGGCGCTTGCTAGATGACGTTCGAGCTCCAAGAGCTCGACGTCATAAAAATCCAAATTGAAAATTTACTAAACAAACCCAACTCAATAACGTTTGGAACCGTGACAGCCCTAGTTACAGTTATGATAAATGACAAACAATTTAAGAAAGATTTCTTCTCTTTATTAGAACACATTACAATCCCTTGCAAACATGTGCAATGTAAAATTTTACTGAGCTTTTCCTGGGTTGGAGCATAAAAATTCTTGTAACTGAATCAAGCTCATTGCTACTTTGGCCAAAGGTAAGAGATGACAGTCTTTAAATATTGCAATTTCTCTTCAGAGTTCATGGAATCCATACTAATTAAAACTGCTAATAAGGACATTTTATTGAGTCTCTACGGCTATGTTTTAAGTTGTCATGCTTAAATTAATTTTATATTCTAAATCATATTTAATTCAGCATGCATGTATGTGCACTTCATTCTTTTCTTTTTTTTTTTTTTTTAGGAAAAAATTCCCTTTCTTTCATTTTTAAAGGAACAGCATGATTAGTGATGAGTGTTTAAATAGGATACTAGCTGTCTTCAATCATAAGGTTTGAAGCTGTCTTCAATCATAAGGTTTGAAATTCTTTTGATGAATGTATTTGAATTCATAACAAATATTTCTTAATGAAAATAAAAAAATATAAGAATTTTTGGTAAATTCCTGAATGTTCAGTATAATGCAGTTCCTCACATGGAACTTTTACTGCACCTTAATCCTTTGTTGATCCAGACAGAGTTGTTCTGAACAAAATCATCCAAATGGAATTGCAAATTTTGAAAATTTAAGCAGTGCAATAAAATTTGTTTTCTGGGGGTAAAAAACATATCTCTGACAAGACCATAGCTCTACTTCTTTGTATTTATAATATTGAAAGAGAGAGAATTAAATTCTCAAAACAAGGCATATAAATTTTGAACATAAATCCTCAATGTCTGAATGTTTTAAAAATGGTATTTAATAAAAACAATTTTTTTTAAAAAAATACTTTCGATATATTTGGATAAATATTTGCTGCTATAAAGTTCTCTAATTGAAACTTTTTTTAACCTTAAAATAATTGATAAAATTATCCTGAACATATCCTTGCATTTATAAATCCCTGATATCTCGATGTAGTCATAACATACAATTAAAAAATTTACTGATTTTCGAAAAGATATTACAAAATGCTCATCCTCACTTTAAATAACAGTTCAGAATTTGTTTTCTATAAGAAATACACAAGTAAGTTCTTATCTAGCAAAATATTTAGTTACTTTTAGTTACTTTCAGGGTTTCTACAGCCAGTAATTCACTTTGGTGTGATAATTCTTGAAACAAGTAGATCTGGCATTGCAACATAGGTTCACATTACACTTGACGCACTTCATGGTTGTTTTTGTTCGCTTACATGGATTTTCTGAAAGAGAGCACCCAGGGTGGCTATTTCTGTACAGAGTATGTTTTTTGTTACACACAACACAAACTGTATTACTGCTTCCAGTAGGTCCTGGCCAATGGGCTTTTTCATCTAGACGATCGCCATCAAGATTCTTGACTCTTGGCTGCTTGAGAGTTTGCCTCTTTTGTCGGTAATTGCTGATTGGTTGATGGGCAAGATCAAGATCTCTCTCTCCCTTGAAAGCAGGGTATTGATCAACAACTGTGCCCTCTACAACATAGGCAGTGTAGACTGAAATATCCCTCATTTTGGTGTCAATATTTGCAGTGTCAGCAGCATTTTTTTTAAATTTGCTCTCTGTCCACATCCTCAAGTAAAAACTTCCAATAATGGATGAAAAAAAAAACTACTTTCCTGACCAGTTTAACTAATTGTGGGTTAAACAGAACAGTTTTATCTGGGGGGTTTTCAGTCTTAGTTGTTGAAGAGTTAAGTAACAGTGGGAACACAGAGAGAATTACAGTCAAATCTCATTATCTTGAACTCCATGGGACTGAGAAAATACTTCCGAGATATCCGAGGATTCAAGATTGGTTGGGACTTCCATATCACTTTGACATGGCCATGGTATTCAAGATATCAGTGTTTGAGATACCAAGGTTCAACTGTATATATATCTTGCAACTTATCTACAAGTAACCTACAGGTATATTAAAATCAATTTTACTAATGTTGGAGGAGCAGGAGCAGCATTAACAGACACCTTACAAATGCATGAGCTATTCTTGCTTTGGAACAGAAGAGCTAATACAAATATATGCGAAACTTGAAACAGCAAGGTAAATGGCATCTGGTGTTATATTGCACCATATAACATTAATTAATGCCAGTACCTCTTTCTCATAATTACAATCATTTTCAAATAATACAAATAATAACATATACAAAATGTGGTTTACCATGCCACAAAATAAGTATATGTTCATTATGCAAGTCCCTGTATGCTTTTTTTTTTGATAAAATACTTCATGATATATATACTGCGGAATTAGGGTTGTCACAGTTCCCCGAAATAACCGAAAACCCAGTCCAAGTTGTTCGGTTCAGTTTCAGTTCCTTTTTTCTGTATTTTGGTTCAGGTCTTGTTTGTATATAGAATCTGTTTTATACAAAAAATGATATCGAAATCAAAAGAATGGGGCATGTTAACAGTGATAAATAAACCATAACTAAAATTTACTTCATCCATAGCAAAACATTGTCACCAAAGGATGGGATAATTATTGAAACCAGCTGGAGTGATCATGTTGTTGCCAAAAGTCGGCCTAATAGTCCTTAACACAGATGTCAAGACATTAACATGGTTAAGACTTGTTTTACAAGGTGAATTCAATGTAACAAATGAAGATTCATGGAATTTTTGTTCAAAATAGATGTAAGAAACGAGACTGAAAAACTCGAAAATGAACCAAAAATTTACTGAACCAAGACCCAAGAAACTTCAGAAATCATTACATTTTGTGGGGATTCTTTTTTTGCCCATTTCATAAGAAACCCTTACTACTGAATTTACAACTCTTGAATTTACAACAGAATTTACAACCTCAAAGAGTTTTGATCTACAGAACATTTCTTTCATGAAGATAAATTTGCCAACAAAATTATATCGCAATGTACCTGAATTTTTAAGGGATTAAAATTGGTCACATTAAAATTAAATGATTTTACAGTAGAAAAACTCCACAGGGATAAACATATTGAACATTTACTCTATGTGTTGTTGTGTTTTGTGATGAATTGTTCTCCAGGTGATCCTTGTCCTTCCTCTTCTTCGATCAAAAACTTTCTAGACATTTATTCATAAGCACAGATCAGGTTTTAATAAAGTCTTATTTTTTTCATTTTCTGCTACCCCCACACTTAATGTTCATCCAGATTTGAAATCATTATAAATAAATGAAATTCTACGTTATCATTACCCTTGTTTTCTCTGTCAAGTTGGAATGAGTCAAGGCCTTTCTGGTCATTTTTTTTAATTTAATTATATAATTAAAAAAAGCATTTCCCCCACCCTTGCTTTAACTTTTGCATTTTGCTCCTATTCTGTGCTTAATCATACGTTCTTTCATTCCAAAAAAAAAAATTGTTGATGTCTGCACAATTTACAATCTTGTTTGTGTTTAAATACACTGTATATGCTTTTGAAGTAATCTGAATTTTTGGTGTAGAAATATACATTTTACCCAATGATTTATTTCAACATTTTTAAAAGGGGGCCAGTGGCTTTCGAATTTGGAAAAATTATCAACATTTTAGTCCAATTAGAAAAAGACAATATCAATGTAAATATCAAACAAGTAATACAGACAATTCAATTATCTGTCTTTTGTATTACATGTTTAGTGAATTCCTTGTCTTTAACCCTTTTAAATATCTATTTAATTAAAACTGACCTTTCTGCAAAAAGCCAGGGGGGATTCATATGGGGAAAATTTCTTAATTTTTGAAAGCAACTTATTTCATGTGCAGATATCATCAGGACTACATTTAGATGAAGGTGCAGTTTAGTTAGAACATCAAAAACAATTTGAAGTTTACTGAATGGAAAAAAAATTCATTGTTGATTATTTTCATTTTTAAAAAAATGTTCTAACTTGGATCCACATTCCTCTAACAGCAAATGATGAAATTTCCATATCGAATTCACATGAACATTAAATGCAAAACAAACCCACCTTGAAACGCTCCCTCCTGACCCAGCATGGATCCACTTTGATCACCACTTAAATTGCTGCCTTCATTTGATTCATCACGCGTCCATTCAATGGGAATTTCTCCTGTATCCTCTTCACCTTCTTCCTGTCCACTTAAAAGAGCCCCTTTTGCATCATCTGGAATGTCTACATACATGTCTAACCCACCAGTGTCAGACTCCTCCACTTTGATGAAACTAATATCAGGAGCCAGGTCTGAGGAACTTGATGTGTCTTTGACACTAAAACCACATAAAACAACTTAAAATTGATCTCAAAATGTTACCAAAATTTTTTTGTTTCAAGATAAAAAAAAATTCATATTAGAATAATTGAGCAAGTTGAAAGCTTGTTGTTGATTAAGAAATATTTAAAACAAAGGGTTACCTCTGTTCTGAAGTTCCTTCACCAGCCAAGAGCTTCTCAACAATTTGAATTGTCTGTGAATTAGATACATGCTGCTGTACTACTTGGCTGCCTCCACTGGCTCCTTTATTTTGAAACCTGTCTGAAGTTCGACTGTCCTGACTAGAGCTGGACCCTGGGCTCTGGTCACCAACGGGCTGCACTGCAGTAAGAGTGCCTGGGATTGGGACTGCTGGTCTAATGGATGAGGGCTGAGGTATGCTGGCAGCCTGCACTGCACTACCAACAGCAAAAGGCTTTGGCTGAAGAGGTGGCAACTTTGGTGTGAATGACGAAAGAGGAGGAGGATTTATTTGTGGCGTTGGATGAGATGGAGGTGGTACTTGAGGACGCTTCGATGAACTCGGTGAATATGATTCTGATGGGCGGGAATGAGCAGAAGGTCCTGATGGATGACTTCCAAAATTTGAAATGTCTGAGTATCTCTGCTGGTCACGTCTTGCACTTGGAGATTCAAATGACACTCTGTCTAATGATGATGATTGTGTATCTCGATGTGGTGAGGGTTCATGGCGGGAAGTAGAGGAATGTGTAGTTACATCTCCTGGAGAACTTGAGGCAAGAGTCCTCGACTCTGCTTCTTCTACATTCACTATTTGAATGTCATTAGAATTTGTAGAGATTTGACTAGATGCTACAGATATTGATTGTGAAGTTCTAATAGGGGGCAAGTCTGACTCTTTCGGCCATCCTTCAGAATCTCTAAGAGCTGGCTCTTTGTGAACTACTTCTAAACTGTCTTCTAAAATTTCTACCACATCTGCTGCTGTGGATCCTCTACCCCTTTCAAAAGGGTCAGAGTTATAGCTGTGGCTCATGGATGTTCTATCATCCATTCGTTGTATCCTTGGTCGCTTTCCACTGGGACTCGCGGAATCAACTGATCTTTTCACACCTACATCCTGTACCATTTTCTGAAAATCTGATGTCCTTACATGGCGAAATTCAACACTATCCTGGAAATTCATCTGAGGTCCAGACGCCATTTTCATGCCTGTTTTCTCACTTAAGCACTTATAAAAGTCTGAGCAACATTTGACAACACTTTCTACTTGTAAAAGCTTTCCCATTTTTTCAATGTCTTTGCAGTTTTCTTCTGTGAGTGTCATAAAGCCCTCATACAGGTAACGCAGGAAAGAAATGACAGAGGACTGCTTGATATCAGCTGCCATTCTGACTTCTAAATGAGATCCAAGGGATGCATTCTCCAGATGCTGCAGCATGGGACAGGCTGCTATGAGCACAAGTCTGTGGGCCTGGAAATAAAAGAATGGATACCAATCATTATACCGATTTAACATTCAATGAAATACAAAATCTCCCAAAAAGTGCTTTTGATCTGTTCAAAAACTTAACAAAATTGATTTTTCTACCTTTGTATTGATGGATCCTGTTTTGATGACTGCATCACACAGTAGCTGATTTTTCCACATGTTCGTCAGATAACTCATGGTGGAGCTTGAGTATATCTGATTCATGTACATTTTTTGATAACTCATCTTTGGATATGTGTTTGGTTTCTACAATCTTCTAATGTTATGTTGCTGAACTTTTGAAATATAATCTGGATTTCTGTCAAAAAAGATGAAAAAACAAATGTTTAGAACAGTCTTCTCATTTGGTCAACTCAATATATATTAGTACGTGTTCTATGAAGGGAGTTTACTGTGTTTTGAGTTTATTTGGTTTTCTGTTCGTCGTGTGCATTCAGCAGGCATCTTACTTTACTGCCTTTTTCACAAAAAAGACAGGGTATTTCCTATGTAAATAAACTAAAAATTAATAAAAAAAGAAAAACTATATTTTTATGTAACATTTGCACTACATGAGTATTTATTGTTATACCTTTAAAAATTTGTTCCTATATAATTCTGTACTAAACAAGATGATTGTGTTTGTGAAACAATGATGCCCTCGTATGTAGGGTTGGATACCGTTAAGGATGAAACGGTACGATACCATACCGGTATTTTTGAAATGATACGGTATTTTTAACGATCTGGTACTATGCATTGATGAATAAGAATGAGGGTTAATTTCATAACAAATGTGCTTTCACCATTCACTAACCTTTCAATGATATAATCTAAAATGAGCTTATAAACTTTGTTCCATGCTTTTAAGATATAAAAATAGATATTCCTAATATTCAAATTACAAACATTTCATTTCAACCTTTGACTAATGATCAACAAAACAAATCAATCGAATCCCAAACAAATTAATTTGCACAAATCGGCTGACTGCTTCACCCGGTTGCCAGGACCCTGTTTGTTTGGTCGCACTAAATGACGAAACATTAGATAATGGATAGATCACATTTTTTGCGACATTTTGCCTTTTTAATTTACATTTATTATCAGTTTTTATTTGTAAAATTAAAATAAAATTCAGGTGAATGTATTTTGATTTTTTTAAAAAAAAAAATATACGTATTGATTTACTTCGAATATCGGCAGTAGAAAGTTAAGTATCGTTCTAAGAATCCATTTCGTTACATGTAGTTAGCCTACCCTTTCAGTGAGGGGAGAATTCGATTTAAGCAAGTTTGGAATGGGTTTTTTTAAAATCAAATTGAATGTATTCAAATGTTTTAGAGATTAAGAAGTACCGTTATTAGTACCGGTATTAAATGAAACGGTATTTTACCGGTATTTTTGAAGTAACTATTCGGTACGGTATTGGTACCGCAGGGTTCGACACTAACGTTAGTCCGTTAGTCTCAGACTAATCCATTTTCATTCGGACTAATAAAATATGTGGCTAATTAGTCCGATCGGACCAATAAAAATTTCTGAAAAACAATATGAATAAATTACCGATGTCCGATTCTCAACAACTTTTACTGGAAAACCCCGCGTGTATTTTTAGATTTCTAGCTTTTGGCGGGTAGTTACGCAATGCCGGGTCAATTCAGCGCTTAATTTTTCAGCTGATCAATTGGAAGTATAAGGTTTTAGCAATCATGATTTAGTATGACACTTTTAAGAAAGATATTGGACGTTTTGGATGTAATGTAAAGACAAAAAAAAACGAGATCTGGAATACGATCGTACTTGCTGATTGCGAGATTTCAATGAATCTGTGGAATAATATATTTCCCGTAAATACTTTGTATATTTCAAAAAATAATATGTGTATTAATTGTCACGTTAAATTAATGTTAAAAACATTGATGTTTCCTTTTTTGACGGACTAATAAAATCGCGTGCAGACTAGTAAAAGTAATGAAGCACTAGTCCGGCTGGACTAAAGTCTTAAGAAGTTAGTGTCGAACCCTGTACCGTGTACCAGTATCCAACCCTACCCATATGGGAACTTATAGCAAAGGTTAAACTTTCTCAAATGCAAATCAAATATGTTGGTACCCACAGTAAGGTCTTGTCTCAAAAAATACACCTGTGAAATATAAAGCCCTAGCAGCAATCATTGAATAGATATGGAAAAGGTAAAAGTTTTTCAAAAATAAGTCAAACATCAAGGTCAAGGTCAAATTGTTAAAATTAATAGTGCCCAAGGAAAAACCTTCTCCCAAGAAATACACACGTGAAATGTGAAAGCCCTATTACCAATCGTTCAATAGTTATGGCCAAGGTTAAAGATTTCCAAAAGTACAATAGACATGTTTAATATGAAATAGGCTGTTAAGCAAACAGTTTGGTTCAAGGGGTCGACAAAACGAATTTTGCCCGAGAACCCAGTCAATAAAATGCATAATATTGACCAGCAAATTCAAAGAATTGTCCTCTAGCCCCTATTTAAGCCTCTGCCTTGTTCACAATTTTCACAAATGCACATTCAAGGAAAAATAAAATGTATGTACACTACCAAAGCCAACGTAATCAGTAAAACTTTATCTCAAACTCAATTGGGCAAAAAAAAAATAGAAATCTGAGCATTCAAGATATCAAGAGTTAAAAACTTAGAGAATAAGTGGTTGGGACGTCCAATTCACTTCAACAAATCCACAGTATTCAGGATATCAGTGTTTGAGATACCAAAGTTCAACTGTATATACATGTACTACGCACTGCATATATATGCTCTCTGACAAGTAGAGCTAAAAAAGCCTAAAAGATTTCAATGACGTCAAACTGAACATGAGAAACAATTTCAAAAGCTCTCTCCGACTTTGATATAAAATTTCAGTTGTTAAACAAAATATAGCAATTACAGTTTGGGGCCTTATGCAAGCATCCAAATTAATAGAGCAGGGTTCGAACTGAAGAAATACCATCAAAATTTTTCTTGCTGAATATTTAACTCATCACTTTTCAGTCAGTTGAAAAACTGTGAAGGATTTCATGAGTTTATATATATTTTTCTTATTGTCTATCAGGGCCTAGGAAGGGGCCGCGCCATACGCCATATGCGCATACTGTCGAAAAATGGCGCAATGAAATAATGGTGCGCAGCGCCATGCGGCGCGCCCCGCAAAATGCGGGTATGCATGTTTTATTACTTTGTAAGTTCATCGCAGTCCGCGCTATCTCTATTCTTCATCGAAGTTAGATGGAATCTGTGATGTATTATATAATAAAATCGGAACCATCATTCGGCATATTGACATCCACTGGCAAAGAAATAGTTTTTTTTTTCATGGTGTTCGATTTGTAATTGTCTAGTCGTTTTCGATGGTTGACCACAGCTTTACGAAAGTCACGCACATGGAAAATTTATATACCATACAATGAAAAACCTTTTCAACAAAGTCCACTTACAATGTATTTTAGCCTGTCCCGTGATCTCTAAATCAAAAAGGTGCTTTTGGTTTAAATATAATTTTTCTAAATACTAGTTGGTTAGAATCTAGATGACAATTGACTGAAGTTCTTAGAAACGGAAAAATCATTTGTACTAGTCAATGTCATATGACTTGTCAATTCCTATCGCATTTTTCTTTTTAATTTTCCTAAATTTTGTTGTTAGAGATATATGCATTATCCTATAGCATCATACTATGATTTATTTTGGAATGGCCCCAATATATTTCCCCTCGGCCCCTTAAATTTCAAAATGGCCCCATCATTTTATGAACAGTGGGGCCATTGGCCCCACCTGTTGCTTGACCTTCCCAGGCACTGGTCTATGTCTGCTCACTGAACGTAAGTAAAAATTCATTTCCTGACTTCCAGGTTTTTTTTTGTTTTTTTTTTTTTTACTGCCAAAAAATCTTGCTTGTTTTACAAGGATCAAGCACTACTTTTTCTTGTTTCAAAAAATTTATTGTCAAGACATTTCTCTACAAGTACATGTATTGCATGATGGTGTACATCTTTACTGAGGTAAAAGCCATGAAAAAGTAGTGTAACCAAAATTCGACATTTTGACAATAAAAAACAACTTTCACCCTATATGTTGATCTTTCAACACATGTGGTCAGCAGTAATTAGGGACCCAGATGAAATGAAACTCACTTAAACACTCTTCTTTCAGTGGTAAATCAAAACTTGCTTATATATATATATATATATATATGATCTGGGGTATAAGAAATAAAGTTGAAAATAGAAATATGACGATAGTGAGTGATACTGACAAAAATTATGAAAATACAGAGTTACCATGGTTAGTAAACAGGACGATTATCCATCATTTCTCAGAATGATGGATTTCAGTCTCACCCCCGACTTTTGTGCAACGTAAACATTGAAACATATTTTTTTCTTAGGCCTTATACAAAGGGGCATCACTCTGATGCCACCTATGATTATGGTGCCAAAAAACTTTAAAGTGTTTGCATTTTTTTTTTAAAAAGATGGTAAAATTCTCTTTGTCTTTATTGAAAAAAACAGTATGCATATCATGCAATGCATTTTATATATCTCTTTTAATATGCATGCTTGAGGCATGAATAAACTTTCCCCCAAGAAGCTCAGACAAAACGAGCTTTAAATTATGAAAATGGTCATCAAAAAGTTTCCAAATCCCCAGATAATTAAAAATGTGCCGAATAAATTATCCCCCTTTGTAGCTAAAATCTTATCAATGTTCTCTAGAGTACAAATGCATATTTCATAACAACATCATCTTCTCAATTGATAAAAAAAACTTCGTAAATAATAGAGAACACATACACATACTGGATACCGTTGCAATGTATTAATTTTTTGCCTGGCCTGCTCAACATGGGCATGGCGGATAGCTTCCTCATAGCGTTTACACTTTCTTACAGCCTTGCGCGCGTTTGATTGTACCGACAACACAATTATTCTACACTTTCAATAAATGTTATACATTCTATAAAATACTAAAATGTTAAACCTACCCCTTTCTGTAGAAATTTGACTGATTTGATGTCACAATTTTCTCTTTGTTCTGTCGGCCATTTGCAATTTTTACGGGATTAAAAGTCACGTGATAGTACGTCACACTCCACATGAATAAATAATGTGGCCATGTGGACAAAGCAGTTCTACTTGATAAAGTATCTTTAAGGTCAAGATCTAGTAAATGAAGAGTGCCTACAGATTTCTCAAAGGATGACTGCACTTAAGGACATACGAAATTTGCGACAAAATAAACTTTCAAAACATGAATTTTTCTTTTCATTGCAAGAATGGTCAACATCCAATCTACAACTTAATGTAATTACGTTTAATAAAAGTGTGTATTTACGAAGTTCGAATCTGTTTTCAAAGGCAGGGGTCATCACAATTTCTTGAATCTCCGTTCGATAATGAGGACGCCCACTTTTTTACTGACTTTATACATAGTCAGCGCATGTTTGTCTATTGTTCTACGCTTAACAGTAGTTGCATATTTGCATAAATAATAATGTGTCAAAAGGAGATTAATAGACAAACATGCGCTCATGGTTAAAAAGAGAAAAAAACTGCTTCTTCTTACATTCGCTCTCTGTGTTGTAACCAAGGATTGTGACATGTTGAATATTATAATTCACCACGTGATTTCTTACCTCAGGTAACTTTGTGAATACTAAATTCCGTCACGTGACTTGTAAGGTAGCATGTTTGTGCTAACTAGGACATTGTGTTCGAACACATTAAGTCATCTGGCATTGGTATATAATCTGCTTTAATTCGTTGACATGCTCATATTGTTAATTTTGTTTTGAAGCTTTTGTCAGAAGTGTATTTGTGCCATACAGAATGGAGAGGGAGATTGGAAAGAGTGATCACGTTCTTTTTTCCAAACATGTCATTGTTATTTATCAAGTCTAATTTTAGAGCCATTCTTACAATGTTAGCTCCACCTCTCATGCATATCTAATGTTCAATCAAGGGCAGGTAAGTGTAAAGTCACTATATTTGGAAAGCAGTAAGGACAAAAACATTGAATCATTTTATTGTATCACAGTCTACAATCATTTTAAGATTTAAATTTGGTTCCAAATTGACAGGATTCTTTCATAAACATACAAAAGTGAAATAAAGTTTAGATATAAAAGCAACAGAAGCAACCGAAAAAGACCCAAAAATAGGCGTTAAGTGCAGTCATCCTTTGAGAAACAAATCCCTTTAATAATCTTTTTCAATTATAGCTAAATTAATCGGGGCATAATTTTCAGATAAACTCAATGAAAAAACATATTTTAAACTGCCTTTTTCAATGAAAAATGAAGAAAATCACGTATAAAAATGGGAGTTTTCTCCATCTCAGACAAACTAAATGTATCAATATTCGCTACAGTCTCTCAGTAAACGGTTTTTCACATCTTTTTGACCTCTTCTTTAAAATGATTTTAAATTAAATATAGGTATCGGGGTTCCTTTTGGCATGATTTCAAATTGAATTCCATGAATATGTGTCATTTTCTACTTAGTTCTATTATAGCCATAAAATACTGGGAAAAAGTAAGTTTGAATCAATTATGACGTCATAATGGATCTAGCACCAAAAGACAGACTAAACTCATTTACTAGATCTTGACCTTAATTTCAATGATATAGGTCTATCAAAACCTTCAGTAAAGAGAGAGAGAGAGAGAAAACATGAAAAGTTTTCATCAATCAGAGAACAGAATATTGGAACGGGGGGGGGGGGCTTTTCTTTTTCTTTTTTTTTAAAATCATATAATCTCGTGACTCCTTGCTTAAATATTTGTCCCCCTCACTAACTTTGCCGAATATATATCAAAAATACCTAAAGATGAACAAATGTGTTCCCTTTGTGATCACAGTGAGGTTTAGGATGAAATTCATTTTCTTCGTGTACATGAATGTCCTCATTCATGAACTCATTGATATTTGTAATAATACGATGGTTGTCCCAAAATTCCGTAGACAAGCATAGCTTTGAAAGAACCCGATGTCATAAATTAATGAAACTTTGTACATACATAAAACTAATTACTTATATACTTATCGACAAGCATTGAGTAATTACAAATTTGAACCCTACTTAAAGTTATGGGATATGGCGTATTTTTCATAAGTTCAGACAAACTAAAATTAAAAAGATTTTTCTATTTGTTTGATTTCTTTATATAAAGATAGGATTTTCCTGTAAATTACACAATTTATATCAATCACGTTTCATAGATATTAGAAATTTAAAACAATTATCGATTTATTTATCGACTCCGCATTTATAAATACCAGACACAGTTTAAAGTCAATTCAACTACAGAATCATGGGGTTATTCAAATTCAAAATCGGTGAAAATTTTAATTTGAACGTAAATAACAAATATCATGTTCAACTACAGCCAATCTCGTATTTTTATTAATTTTTTTAAGCTCAGCTACGCCATATATAGCTTATATTTTAAATGCAATATTTCAGTTTCTGTTTTAAGAAGGCGGCGCAGTACCAAAAAATTGCATGTAAAAATCGGTATTTAATATTCAATTTTACACAAAAAAAAAAAAATTAATACTCACAATTTCAAAAGTAAGGATAAAAATTATTGACATTGCATTGTTAACTACCTTTACTCATATTTTGTGGCATATGCCTTGATTAATATAAAATTTCATAACGTTTTATATAATTATATGCACCAGTTTGAAATCTGACTTTTCGAAAAATGGAGGCTGCGTTGGCAAAGGCGGCGCACTGGTTCTGAACTTAAATTCACTCCTACAGAAACGCAGAAGTCATAAATGTTTGTTAAGCATGGAAATGTATTTCAGTTCTTGTTACATCAAAATTTTCTAAGTGTGTGAAAATGTCAAATTTTTCAGTCTCTATATCTTATGAGAATCAATTTCAATGGCCCATGAATAATGAAGACCCTGCATGAGATCCAAGATCACTTGCTAATAACCTTCCTTAATTATATTGAAGAAATTAAATATATTGGGGGATGTACAGTACATGTATATATATGTATGCTAATAATATATTAAGTTCCTTGATATACATAAATTTCTTCTTCCAGTTTTTTTTTTTAGCTCTACTGGTCAGAGACCAGAAGAGCTTATGCGTTAGTAAGGTGTCCGTCGTCCTGTCTGTCTGTCTGTCTGTCTGCAAACAATTTTTCAAAACGCTACTCCTCCTACAGTTTTGGTCTGATTTCAATATAACTTGGCACACAAGTAGACTATACTAAGATACATAAATTAGTTCATCGGTTTTTGGTTTTGATGAATGGTGTTGCCATGGTTAGAAAATGCGCAGAATTTCTTGGGATGTATCCTCCTCCTTTTTTGAGAGGATGGGGGGTGGGGGTGGGGGGGGGCAAATTTGACTAAATAAAATCTTGTATGATATACGACAGAAAATACTTCATAGATGGTGTCCCCTTAATACATGTGATTACGTCTGTAACCCCCCTTTTATGTTTGGTAATGCCTCCCCAAATTGAAAATGTTTGGTTGTGCCTCCTTAACCTGAAATTGCTTCCTACGAGTCTGATATTTACATACCTATAAATCTAGATATTGATATTTTCTTTCAAATGACTTAGAACAGAATACACAAATTAAAGCATTCCAAATGGAAAAAAATGGAGAAAAAATAGCAATCTTGACTCAGTATTATTTTTAGCTTTAAGGAATCTTGAAGGGGGAGATAATCCTTTTTATTTTAAACAGACAACTAAGACAAGTTAGCTCTTAATCTAAAAGAGAAAATAATAACCTTACTGTTTTGGGGGTCTTTCCATAGTCTGGTGTTTTTAACAGGTGGTTCCTTCTCAATCTCTTGTTTTGAAACTTTCTCTTCCTTAGATGGTCTTTTCAAATAATTGCAGGGACGTAGCATCGTTTTTGAAAGGGGGGGGGGGGCAGCCAGAGAGAAGAAAATTCAACTTACCTGAAAAAACTTGACAAGCAAAAAAAAAAAAAGGAAAATTGTCCGAAAAAAATCCTATTTTGTGGGGGTGGAGGGGGATGTGTGTGTGTGTGTGTGAGGGTGTGTGTGTGTGTGTGTGGGGAGGGGGGGGGTTAGGTTCCAACTTCTTTCAGTACCAAATTTTATTCATACACTACTACAGAACCCAAACCCAAGGCCAACCGACCTTTCAATTAACATTTCAAATATTATTTTTAAAAAAGTCGTTGAAAAAAGGGGGCCAGGCCCCCTCTTGCTACATGCCTGCATTGCCCTGTACTTTTTTCAGGTGGATTCTCTTCTGTTAGATGATCAGATCTAAACCTTGATTTTCTTCTCTTGTATGAGTGGGGAAAATGGTTTTTTGATTGTTATTTTACATTATTTTTTCAATTCTGGTTTTAAAAGTTTTAATATGAAAGAAATATGTAACAATAAAATTCCCCCCAAATCATTTTTTGTTTATTTAAGCCAGTTTTTAAAATTTAAGGCAAAAGAGAATTTTGACAAACAAGTTTCCTTCCAAAAAATACTAGATTTTGAAGTGACCCTATGTTACATTATTGTGTTGCACTCCTGACATCTGATATCCGATTTTATTTAACATTGTTTTAAAAATTATAACATACAATAACCCATTATTAGGTTGTAAATCAGTTCGTCGTTTTGATATTTTTTATCATTTACAGCAAGTTTTTCATATTTTCAAGTCTTCAAAATATGACTATTTGCAATGTGTATTATATATACATTGTACTTAAAAATATGTGTTAATATAAGATATGAAAACTATTCTCTGAATTGACTGTAAAATGTCAGTAATTAGTTGATAGACATAATGTTTTGAACATCAAATAGTATCAAACATTTTTTTTTTCAATTTATTTTGTAGTAAAGATAAAATTAATGAAGATCATTGACAACTATAAAACTATCTTGTTGCACTCCTGACTGCAGAAAATTTAAAATTAAAACCACAGAACACAAAAATTCATAAAGTGTTGGCAACATCAAGTGGTAACGAAATTGTGCAATATTTATAGTCCAATACTTCATAATTAAAACACATGAAAGTATTTAAACTTGGCTTTATAGCTTGAATTATTC